CTAGCACGAGGCCTTTTGGGAGCTCACTGGCTTCGGAGTCATGGGAACTCCGAAGTTAAGCGAGTTAGGGGTTAGAGCAATCCCAGGATGGGTGACCCACTGGGAAGTTGCTCGTGAGCTCCCAGAAACAAAATCGTGAGGGCAGAGATGGGGGCCTTTTGGTATCCGAGTCGAACCCTGTGCGTGTCCGACACCTGGCAAGTGCCGAGCACAAAAGACCAAATTGCCCTTCTAGTCAAAAAGTCAACTTAAAACGGAGTAAAATATTCCAAGGGTAGTTTAGTCTTTTCCTTCATTAAATTAATAATTAAATATTAATTAAGGTTTGGGTTGTTACACTGCAGATTTCCAATGAAAAGATTCTAGAAGACAAAGAGAGGCTCATGTTTAAGCTCAAGAGGCGCCATTCTCTTTCTCCAGAGGCTTCCAGATCATAATAGAATTTTATAGATTTTACAGAGTCTGTTCAGCTCCTGAATCTCGTTTGCTCTGGCACACAAACAATAAGTCATGTTAGAAACATAAGCAACACTCTGAATGCTCAAAGCCATTGAGTCATCAATAGTCTCTTCGTCATACCTTCTTGTTAATAGTATCTCATCCATATGAATAAGGAAATTCTTAGCTACTATGATAGCAGTCGTATCATTCATCATCATAGAGTCATTAATCGTGAGATGAAGATTTTGGGATACAAAGGATGGACGCCAGACTTTGGCGCCACGAGTTGTTTTGGGAGTAACATTTAATTGAAAATGTTTTGGGCGAGAAAAAGAGGAAGCCATTTTAAAAGGTTTCGAGGAAAATCTTAGAAAAGCTGAATTTTCTGAAAATGGAAGGAAGTTGAGTTGAAACGCAATTACTGCAATAAGGCCTTACAGAGGCAATATCTATAGACGGAAATGTGGCAACGTTTCCAGAATCCCAATATTTTCTCAGATCCCTATATTCTCTTTTTCTTTTCCAGATTTCAAAACTTCACACGACCTTCATTAATGTTTGTCAGCACTTTAGGGGTTTCAAGGACTATTTCTGTCAAAGCTGATCTTGCTTTTACGGATTTCACGGAGTCACTTTTTCAAAAGCATCTCGAGAACCTCACAAATTTATGTGGTTAATTTGAGATTTACCGAATCAAATTGTTCCTCTAATTTGTGTATAAATATGTTACTAACGAAATTTCTTTGCCAGAATACATCCAGTTTTCTCCAGTTTTCTCCATATCTCGTTATACAATATCCACTTGTTTTTCCTATCAGTGAGCGCTCGATGTGCTTGAGAAGCGAGACTATCTTTGATCATCCATTCAGGAGGCAAGACTATCCATGATCATGTTTCCGCTAGATCAGGGAACTGTAAGGACGACCATATGCTCTAATCTCCTGAAGTTCTTCTAGGCTAGGAGAAATGAGATTTGTTATCTGTTACCTCACTAGTTTCCTTCCCTAATTGCTTACCTACCTTGCAATCAATATCACAATTCTTTGTATCTTTTCTTTCTTTTTATAACTCTCTATTTATAAGGGATTTGTTTCTTTAGAACTATCATCTAAAAAACAAATCCATGTAGTGATCCTAACACTGAGAGTTATTTTTTTTTATAGAAACAAAAGAATTGTGATTTTTGCTCTTGCAGGATATAACTAGATCATCAAGTGTTACATTATATTTGCTGAGCTGATACGAGCTTGAATTTGAGCAAAGTTTCTCCCACCTAAGGATGTAAGCAATATTTGTGTTATTTCATGTTTGTACTCTTATTTTAATATTTTGTACGACATCCCATAACAATTCTTGCATATTTTTATTTAGGCTTTTTATCACAAATGGTCCTTAACGTTTAAGATTTTATCACGAATGGTCCTTGAGGTTTTTTTGTGACACTAATAGTCCTTAACGTTAGGGCTTTTTATCACAAATGGTCCCTCCGTTAAAAATTCTGTTAAGTGTCTGATGTGGAAGACAAGTGGAGCCCATATTCCAATCACATTGTGACATGTGGATGGAAAAATAATTAAATAATTTTTTTTTTATGAAAATTCCTTTTTTTTTTCTACAACTTTTCATCCCCCTTCCTCTACTCCATCTCTCTTCCCCTCTGCCCTTGCTCTCCATCCTCTGCCCCCTCTCTCCCCCTCTGCTCTCCCTCTCTCCCCCCTGTCCTCTCCTTCTCCCTCTGTAAAAATAATAATATAAACCATATATCTTTCTCCATCTTTGTATAGTGGTATATAAATCATAACCCACAATCCCCCTTTGTTTTTTTCTTGCCCATTGCCTGCCACCTGCAAGAAAAAATTGTCTTTGGGATTCTTTTATTAGTCTCTGTTTTTTTAACACAGCCACCCGCAAGCCGCAACCCACGCCCAACTCCCCTACCCTCTCCCACTGTATTTTCTCTCCTCCTCTACTCTACCCCTCTGTTTTTAATTATTTTAAGTTGTTTGAAAAAATATTTGCGTAAAAGGAAATGTGAAACTACCTTGTGCAAGTGATTATGCAAAATATACAGAGGGAGAGGGGTGGGTTGCGGGTGGGTGGGCATGCGGGCTGTAGAGGCAAGGAAAAAACAACAGAGGGAGAGGGAGAGCACAGGGAGGAGAGAGGGCAGAGGGGAGGGGGAGAGAGACAGAGAGAGAGTGGATTTTCATTAAAAAAAATATATAATATTTATTTATTTATTTAATCCACATGTCATGATGTGATTGGACATGTGGGCTCCACTTATTACACTTAACAAAATTTTTAACGGAGGGACCATTTGTGATAAAAAGCACTAACGTTAAGGACTATTAGTGTCACAAAAAAACCTCAAGGACCATTCGTGATAAAATCATGATCATCGTACATTTCTTCATGGTACAATCTTGTAAGATTTCATCTTCTCAATCCATGAAATGAAAGACTTGGAGGAGTTCCTAAACCCCAAAAACCCATGCTCCTTGCTCTTATTCATACTGTCCAAAACAGCCTCCCCGCCCAACACATAGTCAGCAAACCACCACACCCCCACCTCCTCCAGCTTCGTAGGCTGCAGCTCATTCTCCTTCACAATCTCCTCCCACACACCCTCCTTCCCCTTCATCATCTCCACCAAGCTCAACCTCCCCTCACCCTCCTCCTCCTCATAAAACCCATGCTCCTCAATCCCAAACTGCTCCGCCAACCCCTTCCAAAACTGCTTCCACTTGAAAACATCCCCATTGTTTATATTAAACGCTTCGTTTGCCGCATTCGGGTCCACTGCCGCCCATATGTGCTGCTCTGCTATCAGGTCAGCGTCCGAGGCCATCGCATAACACTCCCAAGCCACTTTGCTGCCGGGAAACTTCAAGGGTTTGCCCTCTTGCTTGCAAATAGCAGCGTAGACACAAAGCGTCCCAATTATGTTCATCAAGCTGTGAGGAGAAAAGCCAAAAATGTTATAGGGCCTGTGGACGGACCAAGTCAGGCCCTCATTTTTCTGGACCTCTTCAAACAATATGTCCTCCAAAGTGTAGTAAAAATTGGGTACGTCCAGCCTCGGCAGGTCCTCGGTGAAAGGCGGGTCATGGGCTTTGATCTTGCCAATGCACTCGAACGGCCCAAGGTAGTGTTTGGTGCCGGTTTGGAGGCTGACGTGGCGGAGGTTAGGAGCCACTGGGATCACGACACGTAGGAGGTTGCGGAACATTGCGCCGTTGGCCTCGCAATTCTCGATCTCATTGGCTCTGCTGGTCCACGTCACGTAGAAGATGTGGGTGACGTCGGTTAATTTGGAGAGCTTGGCTTGGGTGTCTTCAGGGTCCGAGATGTCGCACTGGATGTAGTCTACGGGGTGGTCAACGCTCCAATCGGGACGGGGGCGGCGCGCGACGCCGTACACCTTCCACGGACCGCCGGGCGTGTCGTGGAGCGGGAGGATCTCCGCCAGGCTGTTGCCCACGATGCCCGTTACGCCGATCACTAGCGCCACGCTTTGGTAGCCTTCCGAGTCAGCACCTTCCAACTTTTTCTGAAAAATTCGTGACAATTCGCAACATATTTAGTGAACCAATAATTGAGTAATAAATAAGATGATAGAGATGATGTAATTGAATAATGACCTTAGCAGTGCCAACAGCTCCAGCCCACCACCAGCTCATTTTGGGTAAGAAATCAAAAGACTCCACTCTCCGGCAGCAGCAACTAACTATCAGTGTTTAATCCAAAATATACCCAAAGTGGAAATTGGAGAGTTGAATTGTATGGGTTTTTCTTCTTCAGCTTCATTTTCTTTTTTTTGTCTTTTTTATATGTATAGATAGAAAGAGAGAGGAGGGGAGGGAGACAAAGGTTCGATCTTTTCGACAAATGACGCAAGGTATGACATGTTGTGTATAAATATGTGGTTCCAATTCATGCAAGTGTTTGTTTGCATGTGGTCTAGTCTTGTACACCTACACTCCACCTCCTTCTCCATTCTTCCACAATCCGTCGCCGTATTGGGCTTGGCTTTAATGTTGTTAATACCTGATTGCAGGTTGATTAAGCAGCTTTTTTATTTAAAAAAAAAATTGTTTCCTTTAAATTGGTATGTCGATATGATGATGGAAGTGGAAAATAGTATTGAGTATGAGCCGCTAGATTTTATAGCCGTTATGTTCCAATTGACAAAGAAGTCAGAAACGTACAGCTTACCTACCACAAAAAGAAACTTGCTTGCTGCATATTGTGAAGTAGAGAATTTTGTCCTTAGTTGCATTGCCTCTAGGTGTAAATCTGCCTAACGAACGTTATAGTAAGTAATGGCAAAATCATGACATCGCTTTTTATCTTGTACCTAATCATGAAAAGGATTCTCGAGGGTAATTAATTGGTTATATAGGTATCTGTTCAAATTTTCAAAACTTAAGATGACAAATCATGTTCACTACAAGAGGGAGCAAGCGGAACCTCGCCTTTCATTCTCTCTCTCTCTCTCACTCAATCTCATCATCACTCTCATTTTCCTTCATACTCTAGCTCAAACAATAAAAAATATAAACTAAAATTAAAACATTTATCAAACGGACCCTTATTATCTTACTATAATACGAGAGCTACAAGCTCCCGTAATCTTTTCTAAATTTGAATTACAGTAGAAATAATGTAATTAAAGTTCACTAAATTTAGAAGAGAAAGGCATGTGCAAAACCCACAAAGTCAAGTTGAGGGATTAGGTACACCTTTTTCCCTTTTCCATTTCGTCTTGCTCTTCATTTGAAAATTTGTTAAATCAATATGCTCAAGTGGTCCTCTCCACCTTTCTATTGAAACAGTACTATTTACATATATAAATATAGTACGTGTACTATTATCTAATTACCAGCTACAAAGTATGTCATTAGATCATCTCAATTCGGATATTCTTTCACTTAGTTAACATTTTAATTCAATTAGAAAAGCCTACCTTATACTTCGCTTACCCCGGTGACAATAAAAAATATAAACTAAAATTGAAACATTTATCAAACGGACCCTTATTATCTTACTATAATAAGAGAGCTACAAGCTCCCGTAATCTTTTCTAAATTTGAATTACAGTAGAAATAATGTAATTATGATAAATAACAATTCAAGATCATAAAGTTCACTAAATTTAGAAGAGAAAGGCATGTGCAAAACCCACAAAGTCAAGTTGAGGGATTAGGTACACCTTTTTCCCTTTTCCATTTCGTCTTGCTCTTCATTTGAAAATTTGTTAAATCAATATGCTCAAGTGGTCCTCTCCACCTTTCTATTGAAACAGTACTATTTACATATATAAATATAGTACGTGTACTATTATCTAATTACCAGCTACAAAGTATGTCATTAGATCATCTCAATTCGGATATTCTTTCACTTAGTTAACATTTTAATTCAATTAGAAAAGCCTACCTTATAGCTTACCCTGGTGAAGTGTGTGTGAAAAAACTCCCCTCCTCTGATATCGCTTGTATAATTTTTGTTTTTTTTCAAATGGTGTTGTTTCATTTTCTGAACAGCTTTGTTTAACTTGGGCAAACACCTTACACATAACATCTTGTGGCCATATCGGTCTAAAACATTTGGTAACCCAATTGACTTACATTACATTGATCGAGCCACAACACAACCCTTACACCCTTCTTGTCCTTTCCATCTTCCTCCCACTCTCTTCCTTTACAATTAAAGGTTCTTCTAAAATAGTGGACAGACCTGAAAAACATAAAATCAAAAGTGATCGATACCTGCACAGATGCATTATTATTTGAATTTCAAAAACTTATCAATCATATTTTGTACTGCGTCTCATAATGATATATGAGCACTAAATTTAGTTTCACTTAGTTACCTTTTTTCTCCATCATAACTCTCATAATTTCATCACGGTAATCTTGCTTGTCATCCCCACTTTCACATAAGTTACCCTTCCCTTCTAATTCTTGTACTTGTTTCATCACTTGAAAGTCTTGACGAGTTGCCATCGTTGACCGGGCAGTTGCGAAGAGCCACGTGGCCTCCATCTGTTTGCTGATCATACGTGCAGCATAATGTGGAATCTTCACCCGCCTGCTACTCTCAGACTTGATGCAGCCATTGATGAACGCCAAACAGTCCATCAAGCTTTCTTTAGCCAACCCTTTCATGTCATAAGCCTGTGATCTTCTCCAGAGGCTTTTACTATGAGAATTCACTGGAGTTGACAAGCAAAGAGCTCTGGTTGAGTCCCTAATGGCAGCATCTGAGTCCCTCATCAGCAATTGACACTGAGCTCTGTTGCTATAAAGCACCATTCTTTCTTTTCTCAACCCTAATGGGCACAATTCTAATGCTTCAGAATACTTAACTATGGCTTCCTCTATTTCTCCCAAACAAAACATATGATTTGCTTCTTGTTTTGTTATATCCACCAAAACCATTCTTTTCTCAATTTTTTCTTGACACAATCCTCTTTCTCTCTTCCTCCTCTCCACTTTCAAATTCCATAGCTCTTCTAAATTCTTTTCAATTTTCCTGTTCTTGTTCAATTTTCCCTGCTTGTAATTTGCAAGAAGTAGGGCTTTTGTGATTGTTTCACCTAAGTTTGATCTATCTCCAAGGCTTCTTAGCTCAACCAAATCAACAAGAAACAAGGCGGCAATATCGATAACTTTGTACCTCGTATCTGGGTCTTTGAGGAGCAGCAAAAGGCAGTCGATTCCCATGTACTGCCAATCATCTGAAGACCTCGAGATATTACAGAGGCTCTCTATAACTTCTCTCGACTCAGAAATTTTTTTCCTCCCATATTTACTGTAACACAAGATTCTAATAAGTCCAACACCAGCTGGTGATGAGCGATTGGCCAAACCACCCCACATTCCGCACAATTGTTTCAAAAAGTGTTGCTTGCAAATGAGATTCAAAGACTTTTCTTTGCAAGCAAAACAATTTAAAATATTGAGAGACCAACATTGGAGTTGACTTGCCCACTCCTCTGCCTTGCAAATCTCCATTTCTAATCCACCAACACCTCTTGTGAGCAAATCACAGTGGTATTTTTGTCTTTTTCTCTTATCCTTCACTCCTACAAAACTCACATACACCACATGAAGACATGTAGAAGCTACTTTCATGGCTGATCTTACCACCTCTTCTTCATATTGTGCTACAGCTTCAGAGGTTCTTTCATAGCTTGCAAGGTGACCGAGCGCTCTAGCAGCAACCCTTTGCTCAACCCAACTCATCTTTCCTCTCAGAAGATCAAGCAATGGTGGAATTACACCTGAAGCTACCGCCTTTTCGGCAAACTCAGCCTTGTTCATGGTGTAAGAACCAATGACATGAGCTGCATAGTAAGGGATGTAGATGTTTTGGTCTGTTTGAAGCCAACACTTGTTGTTGATGCCTTTGAAGATTAGCTTTGCCATGCACTCAAAGATTCCAAGGGATGGGAACTCTGGGTCATCAGGGTGAGTCATAGCAATTTGCCATAGACTGCTCAGCACCAGAACATTTCCTTGGTCTTCTCCGAGTGGTAGTTCCTTGAAACAGGCTGATATTCCAGCTCTCCTCTTAAAGGAGTCTGGTTCTTTCATGGTGCAGAAGAAACAAAATGGTCTCGTGCAAGCCTGCTCCTTTTGCTTCAGGGAATCCATGACTGAGGGACAAAGGTGGAGTTTAGGGTTTGGGTTTTGTGAAGAAGAACAAGGGGAGTTAGGAAAGAAAAGTGAAAATTAAGGTGTGTCAAGTGGCCAGGTGTTGTAGTTAGTGACATTAACGGCGCATGTATAGTACTTAAAACCTTATTATATATTTTGAAGAATCTTTTAGTACTTTTGAATTATCTGTGCCTTTGTTTTGAGAAAGGTTGGTCCTAAAAGGTTTTTGTAATGTTGTATACATTCACATGTCTATCTTTTTCATCAGGTAAATATGTTTAAGGCAACTGCGCCCTTTAATGATTTACGTGGCAGTTTTGCTTTGAAAATTTGCTTCATCAAAAATTTGTCACGTGATCAATCTGGCTTCAAGCTCCGACATGAATTTGTTCATGAATCTTGTAATAATATTGGATTTCAAATTTGTGGGTTGGATGGGCGTGGCTACATATTTTCCAAATTGCTGGCTGAGTGGCAGCCATACAAGGAGCAACAACAAGCATATGCGGAGTAGGTAACCAACCATATAGGAAAATGCTTGCCACGGAGAAAGTAAGTGGTCCTTCCTCCCCGGATTAAGTACCTTTTTTCGTTCTGGAAGGATGGCCATTTCTTCGAAACAGTTCTTTTCTTTCTTCATTAATTTTCTAGTTAAAATGCTAATTTGTCCTTGCATTTGTCTTAATAAAGCTAATTAAGGATCGCGTAAGCAAGACAGCAGATCCTTAAAAATCTACCAAGTATAAACCAACCAATAAACACTTGTTAGAACAAAAAATGTATGCTTTTCAATGCAGCTTAGACATGATGTTGTCTGGAGCCTGGGTTTTCGTTCTAAGTCCCTTGTCAACAGGCCTACAGTGTGCTACTCTAGCACTCTTGTTCAAAAGCCAAAACCTATATCTCTTTAATTATATATAATAATGCAGCAAGCAAAGTGTATTGTGATTACAGATGGGTTCTTTGTTTGCTAAGGGGAAGAGAGGGACCACCACATGCTTCTATATAAACGTACTAAATATAGGTGGAAAGCATGAGAAGCTTGAAAAGAGCAGATTTAGATGGAGTTTAATCTTGTCTAGTAATAGTAATTTGGGATTAAACAATATGTTTAATTAATCCTAAGACTCGTGCACTTGGGGATTGGGATGCATACATACATATGTATGTGTTGATGTTGTTGTTGTTGATGTTGTTGTTTAGTTTATTTCTTGTTCGTACGATTGGCGTGGAAAATAGCTGCCTTGG